TTGAAATGATTGAATGAATTGAAAATCGCAATTTTGAACTTTGCGAATTTTTAATACATTTTCATTATGCCACGGATTAGTCTTGGGACTATTCTATGAATTAGCCCATAAACTAGCCTAAGTCAAAGGTCTAGTCTATAATTTAGTCTATAGACTAGACTATTAACCACTCTGTAGACTTGTCTATTAACTAGTCTTTGAATAGTCTATAGTAGTCCCTAGTCTAGTCTAGGGACTACTTCATGAATTAGTCTATGGAACATAATATGGAGCGGATATAACATACAACATTTATATAACCGGACTCTTCGCTCTAATTTGGCCGAATCTAACATTATCTGAAAAAATATTTCATCTGTTTGCAAAGATCCTTAAAGTGTACCTGGTTGAAGAAACGCTATATCAAACAGTGGATTAAAGTATATAGAAAGTGAAATACATTTTGGGTTCGAGCGGATTACGAGATATCAGAACGCGCAAGGAGATTTTTGAGGTGTGTTTGTGCAACGGAGCTAAGCAGATCGAAAGATAGAGCCACTGTTTCTCATCTTTGTCAATCACTTGGAATGTCACAACATTATACGATGAGAGTGATGATACTGCCATGGTTATTAGACGGAACCCAGCAAGATACATATATTTCGACACTCCTATTCTACACCTTCTGAAGTTTGGAAGATGCTCTAGTTTGCGTGGTCCAGCAACATCTCTGCGAAAGTTCTTAAATACGTTGTTACCACACTGGTGGAATATTATTTTGTCTTATATTCCACCAATGTGGTAACAACGTATTTAAGAACTTTCGCAGGGATGTTGTTGGACCACGCAATAAAAATGTTTGGCTAAATGGTGAGATTCCAACAAGAATGGAAGAAAAGCGTAGTTATCACCATTCAGCCATGCAGCATTCTAATGGCAAGGTCCTGGCAAGGATTATATGGTAGATAATATATCCTATTCGTTTGATCTAATTTTACGAAAAAAACAAGCCGACAACCTGATATACATTTGTATCATAACTGTACAGTCTGTATAATACAACTGTCCTCTATATCTTCTCTGGACTTTGTGTCCCGTAAAATAATTTGGTCAACCGTGATTAAGAAGGGTATACTGGAAGAAATAGTATGTTTAATACGTGAGTTTATAGGATTATACAAGTGCGCTTTAATGTCGACGAGTACGACTAACAAAACCTTTTATCTTCCAAGTCCTTTCTATTACTTTTCCAGACAAGGAATAGTGAAACCTACTGCGGATGAATGATAGAGTATATCGATGATTTGTGTCCAATTAGCCACTGTTTTCGAGTTGAATTTAAGAGATTGTCTATTAACGCCCCGAAGATAGGTCTAAGGATAAACTATGGCAAAACTAAGATAATATGGATCTGCAGTGATATAGAGCGGCCTCTCATAGTTGACGACAACATAATCAAAGACGTGCGCAACTTTACCTAACTGGACTGTAAACAATCTAGAGATGGAGGTTTAGATACGGATATATCATACTATAAACAAACTTAACTAAATATAGAGATCCAACAATATATCGCGGATGTTCCAGATGTTCAATTATAGAAATGGATTGAGAGAATGTTCTCAGTGAATATCTTAGTTATTCTGAATAATTTATTGTATAACAATGTAAATTTCAATAAATAAAGGACTATACTATGTACAAATATAGTCTGTGGACCAGTCTATGAGCTAGTATATTGACAATTCTATGTACTATTATACTGAATAGTCTATTGATTATTATATGGACTAGTCCATTAATTAAAATATGAACAAATCAATGGACCTACTGCATGGACTAGTCTGTTGACCAAGATTTTGACTAGTCTATAAAATAGTCTATGAAAAATACTATGGACTATTCTCTGGATAAGTTCATGGACTAGTATATTTGTTGAAATGGCTAAAGTTTTTAAGATAAAAAATGTACTAAACCGATAGAGCATTTTTCGATGCTCAAAAGTGCTGGAACAAGTACAGTACATAGTACTAAAATTTCTAATATAAAATTTATAAATTTTTTAATAAAACAAAAATTATTTTTCATTAAATTAACAAAGTACATATCCCCCTAGTACAATTCCCCCTAAAAAAAATTTAATATTTTCCAATCCCATCTCTACTCACTCTCTCTCTCTCTCATGTGTTTCTTTTTGCAATTACTCTGCACTTTTTTTACTAATTACTATTTTTGTTGTCATTCTGCCAAGTCTGCTTATTCTCTCTTTCTCCTTTAGTTTAGCCACTAACTTTAATCTCAAGTTTTGTTTTCATCTGTTTATTTTTTATTAAACACATGTGTTTATGTTAGCAATAATTTATTTATGTATTATTATTTATGTCTCTGTTGTTGTTGTCTTTAAGTCTGTTTTTCTTTTGTTTTTTTTTCTTTCGTATGCATGTTAATAACATTTTGCCCAAAGGGGGTCTGAACTCTGTTAAATTCGTTTTGTTGTTGTTTTGTAATGACGAAATTCTGTAGATTAACATTTTCTTTGGTTTGTTTACTTTGTTTATTTTAACATTGTGTTTCCGTTGGCAGCCCATAATACTCAACGAAAAGCACACAAAAAAAGCTGAAGGAAAAAAAACGTATGCAATTAATATAATTGAATTTTTCTAAATTACTGTAATTGAAATTCCATCAGCGTAAACTGTCATTATGTAGAATATGTATATCGTGTTTACAGTGATTTATGTTTTATGTAATAATTTTTGGATTTTTTACTAAACAGATTAAAAGAAAAAAAACTTGTTTGTTTATTTTTTTTTTCAAATAAGAATTTTTAAAGTAAAGATTAATAAAATGAAAAAAATTGTGCACAGAAATTTTGTCGAAATTGGAGATGATATTCAAAGTGTATTTTTTTGTTGAAATTGTTTAAAATTGCCCAACTATTTATTTTTTTAACGGAAAATTTGTTTTCCAAAAAAAATCTAGTTCAATCAATTTTTTAGTGAAAAGTCGGACTTTTATTAAATATGTAAAATTTTTGTTTCAATGAAAATTTAAAATTTTAAATAAAAATTTTGAATTTTGGTATTTACAAACCTGATAAAAAAACCGACTAATAAAAATTGAATTTAAGGTGAAATGTTGAATTTTTGGTGAAAAAAGTAAATTCGTATATTGAGTGTAAAATAGTTTTTTAATGAACAATTTTATTTTTTAGTGTTGTTTAGTGTAATATTAAATTTTCAGTTAAAAATCTAGATCTAGTCATGTCCGTTGTCTGTTTAAAACACGATAGAACCTGAAGGGGTAAATTAGTTAGTTAGTTAGTGAGTTAGTTAGTTAGTTAGTTAGTTAGTTAGTTAGTTAGTTAGTTAGTTAGTTAGTTAGTTAGTTAGTTAGTTAGTTAGTTAGTTAGTTAGTTAGTTAGTTAGTTAGTTAGTTAGTTAGTTAGTTAGTTAGTTAGTTAGTTAGTTAGTTAGTTAGTTAGTTAGTTAGTTAGTTAGTTAGTTAGTTAGTTTTGTTTTTCGTTCGTTAGTTAGTTTTAGTTAGTTAGTTAGTTCGTTTATTTTAGTTCGTTAGTTAGTTCGTTCGTTCGTTTAGTTTTCGTTGTTAGTTAGTTTAGTTAGTTCGTTAGTTGTTCGTTAGTTAGTTAGTTAGTTAGTTAGTTGTTGTTCGTTTTCGTTAGTTAGTTCGTTCGTTCGTTCGTTCGTTCGTTCGTTCGTTCGTTTCGTTCGTTCGTTCGTTCGTTCGTTCGTTAGTTCGTTAGTTCGTTCGTTCGTTAGTTCGTTCGTTCGTTCGTTCGTCTTTCGTTCGTTCGTTTTGTTCGTTCGTTCGTTTCGTTCGTTCGTTCGTTGTTCGTTCGTTCGTTCGTTCGTTCGTTCGTTCGTTCGTTCTTTCGTTCGTTGTTCGTTCGTTCGTTTCGTTCGTTCGTTCGTTCGTTGTTAGTTCGTTCGTTCGTTCGTTCTTCGTTCGTTCGTTTCGTTCGTTCTTCGTTCGTTCGTTCGTTCGTTCGTTCGTTCGTTGTTCGTAGTTCGTTCGTTCGTTCAGTTCTTTTCGTTCGTTCGTTCGTTATCTTTCGTTCGTTCGTTCGTTTCGTTCTTATGTTTCTTTTCTTCGTTCGTTCGTTATTTCGTTCGTTCAGTTCGTTCTTCTCGTCGTTCGTTTTAGTTAGTTTCGTTCTTCGTTCGTTCTTCGCTTTTTCTTTCTTTGTTTCTTTCGTGTTTTCATTTTTTTTTAGTTCGTTCGTTTCTTTCTTTCCACATCAGTCTCGTTTTTTGCCCTTTTTCTACCATTTTTACTGACACACCAATTTAATATTACAGATTGTTCCCAATTCAGAAACTTGTTAGAATAAAGAATATACATAAACTTTTTCTGGCAAACACTGAGCCTCCAAACAATTAACTCGGAAATTATTGCGCTTTCTTAAAAAAGTAAAGAAATATCTAGTATTTTCGCCTACAACTATTCAAAAAAAATTCAACAATTATTATCTGCCACTTAAAAAAGTACAAATGAACTGATATTTGAAATAAGTAATTTTGTTTATGTTTAGAAAAATGGACTAAAAAAAGAAAGGAAATTTACAAACTTCTCATTTCTATATCAATGGTCAAGTATTTAAAATTTCTTTTATAATAAGTTAGTAATTAAAATATTAGGTTAATCTGAATCTTGATTAGTAATAAATTTGATTTGCAAGACATAAAAGAAATCTATATAATTTCAAGAGGTGATAGGTAAATAAAAAACAATTGCTCGATTATCTATACCTCCGGTCAGTCAAAAGCTTATTGTTTAAAAATGACGTTTGTAATCAAGATATTGGGTAGCTTTCCCGTACATAAGACCTACTCATAGATATGTATGTAAGTTTTCATATAAACATTTCACTTAATAAAATAAAAATATATTTTGATTCGGAAGATATCGCCAATCAAACTTAAGTAGAAGATATTAGTAAAATGCAAAATAAAAACTAAACAGGGGGTATATAAATCGAAGTTATTTGAATAAAATATCAATAGTCAATTGTTAATTCAAGTGATTTGATTCTAACATGAAATTCGCGGTATTTGCTTTTATTGCCAGTTTGTGCTTAGTGGCAGTTACTGTAAGTTGAAAACTTAATAAACATTCTAAACAAATTATTAATTTGTTTCAATACTTTTCATAATTAGGCCAAAGCTACTGGTGAATTCGTGGTCGAAAATGAAGACATCCAAGTATATGAATACATTGCCCAAGAATTGGCTGAAGAAATTGCAGAAATTGAACCTCAAGGCATTTTCACTGGCATTTACTTTGTCTTGAAGAAAACCTTAAAGACACTTAAAGGTCTTGGTTGTGCTGTTGATGAAGTTCTTAAGATCCAAGTAGCTGCCCATACTTTCCTTACCGACATTGCCGCTTGTGGTGGTGAACTTAACCAAAAAGTACAAACTTTGGTGGATGCCGTTAAGGATATCATTGAAACCTGCAAAGCTATTGGTGGTATAAACGAAGCTGTTTGCTCTAACGATCATGGTACACGTGGTGTTAAAGGCGTTGTTTCCAAAGTTGTTAACGGTGTGAAAGTTGGTCACAAATGTTCTGCCAATATGTTCTTGAAACTCTTGCGATTGGCTAGACAAATTAAACGTGCCATCAATTTGATTATTCAAATCAAGAATGTTCCCGGTGATACTAGCAAATGTGTTTTGGATGCTGTTGATAATTTGGAGAAATACTTCACTGAATTCCCTGCCAACATTAAGGCTTGCTCCAATTTGCCTTCCTACCAATAAATTGTTTGCTGCTAAGGCAGGCTTACGAATTGAACTATTCAATTTCGTTTAATTGATATCTTGATTTTTATAACGATTAAATTGTTAAAAAAAAAAAAAACTTAATAAAAATGTAAATGTTTAATCCAGAAAGATTTTGGTATTTATTTTTTTAGCTCAAACTAAAATATCTTTTAGTTTCTCGAAATGAGAAAAAACATTTTTGTGTACTCACTTTGCGATTTTTGATAGGATGTCATAGTTCTTCGTGCAATTTTTGAAGATTATAACTCTAATAGTTTACGAGATATACGAATTTTTGTATTTAATTCATACGAAAGGTTCCAAGTCCCGCTAATGAAAGCTGGTCCTTTTCCCCCCCAAATATTCACCTGAATGTTATAGTTCTTTTTGTATTCAATGGGAGATGCCACGTCCCCTATTGCTAGTCCGATTATTTTTGTTCTTAATAGACATGTTAATACTAATGTAGCTGCAATGTAAGAACGCTAGCTGTTATATTTTCTCAGATATACATACTAATTAAGATTGTCTTTATATGGGAGGTGCCACGCCCACTATTGCTAGTGCAACTCAATGGAACTTCTGATTTTTTTTTTCAAATAATTTTAAAAACTTAAGTATAAGTATATTTATATCATGTAATGAAATTAGCATTAAGATTCATCTTCCCGATACTTGCCTACTCAATGGCATTTTGACATTTTAAGACAATAGTACGAAAAACTGCAAATTTGGAGAAGAAATGTATGAAACGAGGAAGAGGTATTGGATACAAACAAACGACTTGCATAACATTAAAAACGTCTTCAAAATTGTAAAGAGTGATTTATTTCTTTAATTAAATTATTTTTTGTTGAATTTCTCTTAATACCTTGATGACATTAAAGTCACATTCTGAAGAGACAAAGATCAAATGTGGATCTACCATTATCAATACCAATCAATATATATGTATGTCAGTCTACTATTACCTCTTGTTTAGCTTCTATAGGGCGGGTTTTTCTGATAAAGTTAATCTACATTCTTTGTTTAATCCTAGTTTAATCGAAATACTGTGTTTTTCAGTAATAAGTTTCGTTACTTATTGTCTTGGTTTGCATTTTGTTTTTCTAAGGTTATGATATGGATGCTGTATTTACTATATCGTATTGATTCGAATTTCGTAGAAAAATCGAATTTTAGTGAGGTATCTAATTAATTGCCGAATCTTATATACCCTTCACTATAGTGTGTTTAGAGAAAGATTAATTTCATAAAATTTCGATTTATAACATTTTTCCCTACTCTAGCATTATACAAAACTAAAAAGCAACAACAATGCTAAACGAAACTAAAAACAACAATAACGAAAAACAGAACAAAACACAAAAAAGAAACAAAATAAGTACGCAAAGCAATAACACAAACAGACATCCAAACATCCTTTTTTTCAAATACGCAATGTTGTTCTTGTTTTTTGTCAAAGCATGCAAAAAGTTTATTTTTTTGATGAAATTTTCAGATGTTATTTCGGATTTTTACTCATATCTCTGTTATTTATGGACGGTTTTTGCTGATTTTAAATAGAAAACTTCTCGAAAGCATGTCTGATAGAATTATTGAAGATTTTAATCCCGAAGATATTTGGTGTCTTCAGAAAATTGATTTCAACAGACGGACAAACGCACATGGCTTAAACGACTGAGTTATCTATAAGGAACCAGAATATACATACATACGTTATAGTGTCGGAAAATTATATTGAAAAACTTATTTATACCCTTCTCATGAAGGTGAAGGGTATAAAAATGAATTTCCTGTGGAAAAAAACTGTACACAAACGACGAAGCATAGATATTGCACAGTGGTGTCTCCCTGAACAAAACTTGGCATTAACTAAGCTATAATGTTTTGGTATAAATTATGAGTATTGATGGGTAGAACAAGTCCTCTAGAAACGAAGTAAAAAAAGAAAAAGTTGCACTTAATGCAATTTTTTGCAAAATTTTCAAAACAAAATTTTTTAAAATTTTATTTACGATATATTTTTATTACATTTATATATATTCTAATTACTTTCGCGATAGATTAAATTTAATGCATCTTCTGGAAGATTTTTGGATTTTTTTAGGGAAAGTTCTGTTTACAGTTATATAGGATTTGGGATATGGAATTATACGAAAAGCTCTTTTATTTCCTATATTTTGTCACAAAATCTTTCAAGTGATGCCAAACTCTCATAAGAGTTACTCTTCTCATCAAACATTTTTTCCGTACAAACAGATTCCGTCTAATATTCTTTCAAAACTTGTTGACAACAATGTAAGACCAAAAAAGCATCAATCAATAGCATGTCCAGTCATTATTTTATTAGTTTCTACTATTTTACTAAATGTAAATATTTTCATATCATGTAGTATTAGAAAAGTGGGCCTAAATGCCGTAGAGGCAAACAGAGGCAAACATTTTCATTTTGGTGTTATTGAGAAGATTTCAGAGTATCTTTTGGATGATCGCTTAGAGGCCATCAGTGGCCAAATTGTACTTTTTCACTTTTAAAAATTGTGAAAAAAACATAAATATCTATAAAAAAATAGCATTTTAAAAAGATGATTTAAAATAACACCTTTTCATACATGACAATAGTATATTTGGTATCGAAAAAGAAATAGAAATTTGTATTAAATGGTAGATTGAACAAAAAAAGTTATGGTATTAAATAATAAAAAAATTTGTAGAAAAATACACATAAAAACATAAACTTTGCTTCATCACCTAAAGGCCTATAAAATAAAAATGGGAAAACTAATGATGGCGTTATATAGAAAAAAGTCTTATCTTTCCAGGCATATTAAATTTTTCTAGTTTTTGGAATGTAGAAAAAATAAATGTGATGTATTTTTTGATTAAACATTCAATAATAGAGACAGAAAGTTTCAAAAATTGTAATTATCCAAAATATAGTACGCTAAATATTTGAAGAATTTTCTAGATTTATGAAAAAAGTTGATTAATTTTAATCTTATACTGAACAAAAGTACAAATGAACTTCAATATTTCGATACAGAAGACAGGAAATTTACACCGGAAACACTTTATTTTAATATCAAATTGCGAATAATCGGGATATAGAATCTAGATTAAAAATAATTATTAGTTTAAAGTGGTAGCCTATTTATTTTACTTCCTGTTTCTAAAATAGAAAAATGTTCCAAAAAAATATAAATAAATATTAGAAGTTGCTGGGCTGCAATTAACTTTATCAATAAAATAAATTAAAGATATGCACACAAGTTAATCATTATCAACCGAAATGCAAAACATTAACTGGTCAAAAAGTATATAAATTGAAAATATTTGACCATAAAATCAATAAGCAATTGTTTGTTCAAGTGATTTATTATCAACATGAAATTCGCAGTTTTAGCATTCCTTGCCTGTTTGTGTCTAGTTGGCGCTAGCGTAAGTTAAGAACTTTGAAAATCTTTAAAAAAAAGTAATAATATTTTCAAATCTTTAGGCCAAGGCTACTGGCGATTTTATGGTAGACCAGGAAGTCCTTCAACAATATGAATACATAACCGAGGAATTGGCCGAAGAAATTATGGAAATTGAACCACAAACCATATTTTCTGGCTTTTTCTTTGTGGTGAAAAAGGTGCTGAAAACATTCCAAGGTATTGCCTGTGTGGTTAATGAAGTTTACCGTGTACAAGTTGCTGCCCATAACTTCTTAACTGATATTGCCCTATGTGGTGGTGAACTTTCACAAAAAGTCCAAACTTTAGTGGATGCCGTTAAGGATATCATTGAAACCTGTCGGGCAATTGCTGGTATTAACGAAAGTGTTTGCTCTAATGATCATGCTGATATCTTTGGTCGTGGTGTTGTTTCTAGTGTAAAGGTGGGTCATAAATGTGCTTCCAATATGTTGAGCAAATTGTTGAGATTGAACAGACAAATTAAACGTGCCATCAAATTGATGATTCAAATTAAAAATGTTCCCGGTGATACTAGTGAATGTGTTTTAAATGCTGTTGATACTTTGCTCCAGCAATTCACCGAATTCCCTGCCAAGGTTAAGGCTTGCACTAGCACTAGTGTGCCACCAACTGAGAATCCTTGTGTAGTTTAAGAATTGCTTTGAATTATCAAATGTAAAATTGCAATATTATAGTGAAAATATTTCTTTACTTTGAAAAACGAAAACTTGCTTTTTTAATGAAAATTTTATTATTTTTTTTTTTATGAAAACTTGATTTTTTTGTGAAAATTTAAATTTTAATGAAAATTTTAATTTTTAATAATTTTAATGAAAATTTCAATTTTTAATAATTTTAATGAAAATTTGAATTTTTAATAAAATATGGAACTTTTAGTAAAAAATACTAGATTTTTAGTGAAATATAAACTTTTACAGAAATATTAAAATTTTAGTAAAATGTGGGAATTTAAATGAAAAGTGAAATTTTACTTTTTATTAAAATTAATTGAATTTTTATGAAAAATCTATGTTTATGAAAAAATGCACTTTAAGGTAATATAGGATTCTAAATAAAAGTTGATTTTTTTATAAAAAAAATTGGAATTCAATAAAAAAATTTAGAATTTTATTGACTCCCATCATCTAAACAATGTTAAAATAAACCTTTTACAACACTATCCACTATTTCCATATACTTTTTAACATTAAAGTTTAATTTCCTATTTCCTCTTATAATAAAAAAGAGACTAAATGAAGGTTTTAGTTTTAAGAGACTATGAAACAGCTCTGTTAGAATTTTTAACATACTAGTACTCTCTTTAACATTGCTCTTTCATTTTAATGCAATGTTATTCGATTTCATGTTATAGGCGCAATTTACATGAAGACTCTTCAGACGTCTGTTTTTTCCAATTCTCTTTTGAGAATCTTCCAAAAAATCATGAACATTTATACGGTGATTTTTTACATGCAACTATGCATGTCTTTTTTTGATGTTTAATTGTATAATCCTTTTTAATTACTTATTCGTAATAAAACTAAAATGAAATTTTTAACATAAAAACCATTTAGTTTGATTTTAAAAAAATTAATAACACGCTATAGTATTTTTTTAATGCAAATTTTAATGTTTTCATGTAAAAAAAAGACATAATTATTTTTTTACATGAGCATAATATCAACAGTACGAATGAGTTTAAAGAGGAATGTCAAAAACAATCATGAAAATCCCAAATCATGTTTGTTTTCTTACCCCCCATTCTTCTCTACCCCGCTCACCACCAATCATCGACAAACATGAAAACAGACGTCTGGGCAAACATGAAAAAAAATCATCGTGTAAATTGGGTGATAGAAGTATTTCATTTCCGTTCTGTTCATCTTGTTTTACAATTTAAATGAGTGCAAGTAACATCAATAATGATTATTTAAAGCAGAATTACTACTAATTACAATAGATAAAATATCCATTTGTAGGTTAAAAGTAACAAGAGTTTTTTGGTAATCATACAAAAATAAATAGAAAGTAAAAGAAATCTACCTAAAAACAAGTAATGTGCTATATTCGGCTGAATCGAATCTTAAATACCCTCCACCAGCTACTTTTATATTAATACCCTTTAAATTAATCAAATATTTGTGGAAGTAGATTTTCTCTTATTATATAATAGAAAAAGTCAAGATTTCAATATTTTAAGGCCCATTATTATAACTTTCCAATAACTAAAGTTAGGAATTTATCGTACAGATAATATGCTTTTCATTATTACAAGTCAACTTTAAGCTAAAAGTGTCCGATAAGCTAACGGGTAGGTCACCTTACTTACCTTAACTTTAACGTAAGCTTTAAGAATTTTTGTAAAAATATGAAAGAAAAAATAATTTTTCTATATGAAAAAGATTATTTGAGGGCTAAAAGTATGCTACGGTTTTTGTATATTAAAAATTTATGTTGTAATAATGAAAATATTTAAAGTTCACTTTATTCCTTACATTAATTAAAGTTATCTTTTACTATTACGAACATTAAAGACAAGTTGTAATAATGGCCCTAAATCTGTTACAAATATGTAAAAGATTTATTGAGCATTACAAATACAATTTTCTTTAATATATTATAGCGCCTTAAAATATGCTTTAGAGATATTTTATAATTTGCAGGCACATAAAGATTTAAGGATATTCAGATGTGTTTATTGTTGTTCAGAATTTGTTTATTATAGTAACATAATTTTTCAAAAAAAAAAAAAAAATACAATTAATTATACATATATGGTTAAAGTGATTTTCGCGAAGGAAAAGACCTTGTATGAGAGCATTTATCGACCCATCGTAAATAAAAGCTATACATATATTAAATCTATATTTCTGTAAAATTTTTATCTATATCGCTATTTTGTAATAAGTTATAGGACCAATCAATCCCATATTTTGTAATAAGTAATGTGTGTTTAAGTGACTTTCCGAAGATGCCTTTTATGGGACCACTAAATCCCATCTTAAGGACCGATCATTAAAATGTTTAAAATAACCTTTTTTGTACACAAAATTAATATTTGTGCCAAATTTTGTAAGGATATCATTGTTTGGTAATGAGCAATGTTCATTTAAGTGATATATGGGAGGGTATCTTGTATGGACCGATCGCGATCCTCTGTATAAATTCTATTGGCATTCATCTATTATTTTAAAAATTGTTTAAAGTCATTCTAACGGAAGTTATTAACAATAAATTTTTTTCCGGAAATATGTACATTTGTATGGGATATACATATGTATGTATATTAGATTCTAGACCGATTCAGGGTCTGTTAAAAATTTATGATGATTTTAATGGACTTGTATAGCACAGTTTTTGTGAAATTTGAATTAAACTGTGTAAAAAAAGCATAATATTTTCGGAGTTTTTTAAAATTTTGATTCATAAATCCTCCCGATGTTAACCAATTTTGGTCATTTTCAATACCAAACAACTTAGTAAAATGAGTTTTGGGTAAATTTGGTAAGAATCTATTGTTTCGTTTTATTGTGAGAGTGTTTTACGCAGATAGACTGACATACATAGCTAAAGGACCACCTAAAATGCAAAAAGGCGTAACAACCAAAATTTTAAAAATCTACTTTTTAATGAAAATGATCCACTACATCGAAATACATGTCGCAAATTTTTAGAATTTTATTGTCAAAAAACCCCTATTTTATTAATCTGAAATTCAAAAGATCGTAACAATAAATTAGTCATTTCCACAAGTCTAAATGTCCTAAAAAACAACACAATAGACAATAAATAGAGTCACATTTATATTCAAACATACTTATTGATGTTAGGATATAATTCATGGAAGAATTATACATTTTTATTTAAGGTATTTTTAGACTACAATACTGAGTATTAATACTTGTCAAAAATGTTTGTATCATAATACAATTTACTAGTCTAAATATAATTTGTAATTTGATTTTCAAAAATATTACTGATTTTTTTGGCATACGGTCGGTATTCATACATTTTTTAAAACAATTCAAAAACTTTTTATTTTCAAACGTATTCGGTATGTATTTTATAAATACAATAAAAAACAAACAAAAAGTGTAAAATACATTAAAAATAAGAACGAAAAGTGCATAAATAATTGAAAATTGGATAAAAAATATTACAAATATTATAGTGTAAACATAAAATGTATTTTTCGGATTGATGTTTTGAAAATGCGAATTATTTTCATAATATTTTTAATTTGAAGTGTGTTAATACTCAGTATTGTAGTCTGAAAATACCTTTAGTTTTTTGTCTCTCCTGTAAAATTTTGAAAAGTGTTGTCATGTTGTTTTAATAAATATTAATTGGTACACTTACCTTAAGTTTAATGTGGATGCAGCTTTTAAATCTTTTTCAACATTTTTGCATGGAGAACAGAAAAAACAAAAAACACTAGATATTTTTATATACATTTACTTTACTACTTTTTATTTTTACTACTTTTTTACTTTTTACTACTTTTTTATTTACAACTTTTTCTATTTTCTTTTTATTTACTTTATTTACATATAAACACTTCACTAAAACTTTAATACTGGCGCCTTTTCAACGACAGACCGACATCACGCGACACGGCGAAACCGACAAAACGATAAACCCGAAGACCGTTTCTTTATTATTTTATGTTGCTACATTTACAAAAACAAAATACATTGCCGGCCGACAGACATAACACTAAAAATTATACACCGCTAGTCATTTTTTAAAAATTATTTTTGCAAAAACATCAACATATCATTTTGCAAAAGTTCATAATTTTTGCCATCTTTTGTAAATAATTTATTTTTATTTGCAGTTACTGTTTTTAGGCGCACTTATTATGACAGAATTTGAAAAAGAGACAAAATAATGTTGTTTAAATAGTTTAACTAACATCTCTGTTAAAAGTATTCTCTTGAATTAAAAACAATGTTGTTATATTCCAAATGCATTTCCTTTTTACTTCAACTTGAGTTAAATGATTTGCGCAGAAATGACACACACACACTTCTACTGACATCAATGTTTTCATTTTACGTTTTTCTTATTCGTTTATTTACCAAAACAAAATACATTGCCAGCTGAGCAGCAAGTCAAACAACAATGAATATCTTTCTATGCCTTGTCAACTTATTTGCAATTTGTTTGTTTATTTATGTTCAATTTAATGAAAATTTTATATTTTTTATATTTTCCAAAATTTTATACAAATTTTTATATAAATTTAATAATTTGCTTTAAAATTTCTTATTTTTATAGCCACTATTTCTATTTTCTTTATAAACACTAAATTTTACAAGCACTTGTCAGAAACGTATAAAGAAAGAGACTAAATGACAGTTTTAATAAAGAGTATTAAGAGAGTAAAGTTAAGTCAAAGTTGTTGTTGTTTTTAGCTGTACTCATGTCAAAACTATTGCATTTCCTTTATGCTCCACTTCTTTTATGTAAAAATTTTGCGCAATCTTGTCGCACACACACATTTAAATTAACTCTCGTAGGTGTTTTGTACAAAAACAAAATACATTGCCGGCAGGCAGAAAATTTTGTGGAGCGCTAGCGCTCCGCTAATCAGACATAACCTTGAAAATATTGCAATTCATTGTATAGCATTTGCAGTTAGTTTTTAGGGATTAAATTTCTAAATTTAATAATTTATTAATATTTTCAATTATTGTATTACGATTTCCTAATGAATTTAACAAATTTTTTTCTAATTTTATAACTTTTATTTTTTATTTTTCTAACGAACACAGATTTCACTTGCAACTTGTCACGAACGAGTTTAAGAAGAAACTGAATGTAAGCTAATAGAGTGCTGGTAAGGCAATGTTGTTGTTGCTGTTTTATGTATACTCATATTAAAATTATTGCATTTCCTTTTTGTATCATTTCTTTTAAATAATTTGCGCAATCATGTCGCACACACACATTCATATTAACTCTCGTAGGTGTTTTTTTACAAAAACAAAATACATTGCCGGCCGGCTAACAAGTCAGTGGAGCGCTAGGGCTCCGCTAATCAGACATAACCTTGAAAATATTGCAATTCAATGATTGCTATTTGCTATTGGTGTTTTATGTTGAAATTTAATAAATTTAATAGTTTTTTATTAATTTCAATAATTTTAATATGTTTTCTTTGTAAATTTAGCAAATTTTATTCAATTCTTTATATTTTAAACTTTTAATTAACAATTTTCTAACGATTACGAATATTTTATGCAACTTGTCACGAACGTGTTTGAAAAGAAACTAAGGCAAATCTAAAATTACAAAGCGATTAAGATAAAGGGAATAGTAAGGATTAAATGTTCAATATTAATTAAATAGCAAACAATTATTTTTAAGAAAATTTAAATAATTCTTTAAATTGATTACAATATAAATATGTAATTTAATAAATAATTTACTTTAATAATTCCTTGAGTAGTATTTTAATGTACGTTCTATAACATTTGTTAAATTCTGCCCAAACTAATGGTAGCAAAATGAATATATCTCCTAAACCAATGGTCCGTTGGAAGAACAATGTAAGTAAGAACCGAATAGAAGGATCTAAGCTTTTCATTAATTAAAATTTTACTCTTCCACTTTCAATACAGTGGGAGCAACTTATTGTCAAAGATGGCCAACTCGAAGATGAAAATAACTTTAAGGGATCTACATATGATTTCATTTATTGGACAAAATAATAAAAACTACACTGCCGTTGGCAAAACAATGTGTGAAAGAAAGGAAGAGCGGGACCTAAGCTTTCCAAAAATTTTAATTTTTATCGCCTAATTGGTACACAGCGAGAACAACATATTGTCAAAGCTAGCCATCTCGTGATTAAAAAAAATTTTAAACTTCTCCAGATTAGAATACATTTATTGAACAAAAGGATAAAAAATACAAACCCGTTAGCCAAACAGTGTATATAGAAATCAAAGAGATAGAACTAAAATTCCGTAAAATGAAACTTTTTGAGTAAATTGGTACACAAGGCGAACAGCAGGATGTCAAAGTTGACCACTTCAAGAGTGGAAAAAAAAACCTTTAAAGAAAACGTTATTTGAAACCATTAATTGAACAAAAGTATAAAACTACAAACATGATGGCAAAACATTGTAGGAAAGAATCCAAAAGGAGGACCAAAGCTTCTAGAAAATATACATTTTAATCACCTCTTTTACATATAGCGGAAACAACAGATTGTCAAAGTTGACCATCTCATGATAAGAAACATGTTTAACTCTTCAGACGCTTTGTGTAGGAATCAAAGAGAAAGAACTAAGCTTTCGGGAAATTAAAATGTTGCTCCTTCTGTTAGAGAGCAGAGGCCACAACAGGTGGTCAAAGTTGGTCACCTGAAAAGTGAAAAAAAAACTTTAAAAACGTCTCAGTGCAATCTATTTAGTGTACAAAAGAGAGAGAAACTACAGTCCCGTTAGCAAAACAATGTTTGCCAGAATCGTAGGGGGTACTGGGCTTTCGAAAATTTAAAATTTTATTCATCCTGTGGGAAAATGTTTCTTTATTTTTACTATTAATTTATAAAAAATGTTTCCTTTTCTTCCACTGTTTTACTTTTTTTCTTTATTTCAAATTATATTATTTTTATTTACTTTTTTCTAAAATGCCTAAATTTTCAGATCATTTTAATAGCACCACCATAAGAGGAAGAGCTAATGTTAGTATTAATACTACAAATATTAAGAAAAACTAAATATTAATCGTGTTCCTATTTAACTTTCAACCCAAATAGGTGGCCAAAGTAACTTACGCCTCATTTGCTGCCATTTATCTATACAATCGTTTTAAAAAGTCCAAAAAGAAACCAGCCGAAGTTAACCAAAGAAATGAAACAAATCTCAACAACCAGGAGCGAAAGTTGGAAGATAATGATAATGGTGTAGAACATTTTAAATGTCCACATTGTGACTGTGGCAAAGGCAAAGATGACTTTAATGATTACGAACAGCAAGACCCAACTCCCTCCGGGGAATCGAAAACAAATACCGAAAATTCCCATTCTACTAAAACTGAGCTTAATCAAGATAGCCCTATTGCTAAGGCTGAATCTATGATTAAATCATCTAAAACAAAATGTGAGTCTGGCTGCAGTACCTCTTCTTCTCCTAATCCTTCTGAAATTACTAACACACAAAATTTCTTAGAATCCACCGATAACACAGAGTGCGTTTATGAAATTTTCTTTAAAATTATTGAAAATTAAGATTTTCTTATTTACTTTTAGCTTATTATGGTGCTACACCATCTAATCATGGAAATGGCCATAATTATGGGGACTCTCCTGCTCCCGACAAGGGTTCCTGTCCTTAAGATGTTTTAAAGGAATTCTTTTATCAAAATTTATTTCATTTTTTTTAATATACAGAGTTTGTTAAAAATAAATATTTTTGAATAAACGAATCGAATTAGAATTCAAAATCTATTTCCGAATTTTGAAAATTTCAGATGACACAACATATTTTATAAATATGCACGTCTTCGTGCTGTTATAACAACTCTAATATGGTCAAACAGTTCAATTAATAAAACCTTCATAGAACTCATTGTTTTCCATTTTTAGAAACTATTTAAATCGGATCCCAAAATTATATATATTATCAAAACTTTTCTAAATACATGGATTGTTAAATGTTAAATTAATAAATATTTTACATGTATAATTCTTATTATATTTTTTAAATATGAAATTATAATTTTAAATACAATGATTATTATAATTATTATTAAATATGTAGAATAGAATGTATACTGATTTTAAAATTTGTCCATAAATTCTGATTTATAACAGTCTTTACAAATATGTTGCTTGTTAATAGATATTTTTTTTTTTTATTTCCTTTTTAGAATAATGCCTGATTATTGTATACGTTTCGGGTTTCCCATAAAGTTTAGAAGATGGTAAATAAATCCAGCTGTAATTTAAAACAAAATAGAGAAATTTGTTAAATTTAAAAAACTCAAAAATTCAATTAAACTACTAACTACTTACTTTATAACATCAACCAAAGCGATTTCTCTAAAATTGTTAACAGAATTTCTAAATTTTTAAAAACTTTTCTATAAATTCTATAATAACAAATAAATACTGCTACACTTTTATTTTAAATATTTAATGAACTCTTTTATTTAATTTTTTCTTTATTTTTTTCAATACTACAATTATGTATTTTATATTGTTTTGCAAGGTGTATTTTAATAATATTGTTTGACTTTTAAGGCTAAATGTTTTTTTGTTTGTTTAACACATTTTAACATTCTTGTTTTGTTAATTGAATACAATTAATTATTCTTTTTATACCATATTTAAAATATATTTTTAAAATATTTTTTAAGGGGATTGATTATTAATTTTTTTCAAATTCAAATTTTGATATCCAACCTTTAAAATTTTTATAAAACGAACAATTTATTTTTGAAAGTGTAATTTAATGGTAAATTTTCTGAAAATCTTTAGCATACCTTTGGGAGGAAGAAATAAAGTTAATTTTACTACAAAAGTTCAAAAGATTTGTGATCTTGTAGTTAACATACATATATTTTGTATTAGTATAAAATTTTTGTTCACTTCGATAAAAATTAAGAAAATTAATCGAAATCTTAAAAAGCGATCAGTCTAGTCTATAGTCTAGTCTATAGTCTAGTCTATAGTCTAGTCTATAGTCTAGTCTATAGTCTAGTCTATAGTCTAGTCTATAGTCTAGTCTATAGTCTAGTCTAGTCTAGTCTATAGTCTAGTCTATAGTCTAGTCTATAGTCTAATCTATAGTCTAATCTATAGTCTAATCTATAGTCTAGTCTATAGTCTAGTCTATAGTCTAGTCTATAGTCTAGTCTATAGTCTAGTCTATAGTCTAGTCTATAGTCTAGTCTATAGTCTAGTCTATAGTCTAGTCTATAGTCTAGTCTATAGTCTAGTCTATAGTCTAGTCTATAGTCTAGTCTATAGTCTAGTCTATAGTCTAGTCTATAGTCTAGTCTATAGTCTAGTCTATAGTCTAGTCTATAGTCTAGTCTATAGTCTAGTCTATAGTCTAGTCTATAGTCTAGTCTATAGTCTAGTCTATAGTCTAGTCTATAGTCTAGTCTATAGTCTAGTCTATAGTCTAGTCTATAGTCTAGTCTATAGTCTAGTCTATAGTCTAGTCTATAGTCTAGTCTATAGTCTAGTCTATAGTCTAGTCTATAGTCTAGTCTATAGTCTAGTCTATAGTCTAGTCTATAGTCTAGTCTATAGTCTAGTCTATAGTCTAGTCTATAGTCTAGTCTATAGTCTAGTCTATAGTCTAGTCTATAGTCGTCTATAGTCTAGTCTATAGTCTAGTCTATAGTCTAGTCTATAGTCTAGTCTATAGTCTAGTCTATAGTCTAGTCTATAGTCTAGTCTATAGTCTAGTCTATAGTCTAGTCTATAGTCTAGTCTATAGTCTAGTCTATAGTCTAGTCTATAGTCTAGTCTATAGTCTAGTCTATAGTCTAGTCTATAGTCTAGTCTATAGTCTAGTCTATAGTCTAGTCTATAGTCTAGTCTATAGTCTAGTCTATAGTCTAGTCTATAGTCTAGTCTATAGTCTAGTCTATAGTCTAGTCTATAGTCTAGTCTATAGTCTAGTCTATAGTCTAGTCTATAGTCTAGTCTATAGTCTAGTCTATAGTCTAGTCTATAGTCTAGTCTATAGTCTAGTCTATAGTCTAGTCTATAGTCTAGTCTATAGTCTAGTCTATAGTCTAGTCTATAGTCTAGTCTATAGTCTAGTCTATAGTCTAGTCTATAGTCTAGTCTATAGTCTAGTCTATAGTCTAGTCTATAGTCTAGTCTATAGTCTAGTCTATAGTCTAGTCTATAGTCTAGTCTATAGTCTAGTCTATAGTCTAGTCTATAGTCTAGTCTATAGTCTAGTCTATAGTCTAGTCTATAGTCTAGTCTATAGTCTAGTCTATAGTCTAGTCTATAGTCTAGTCTATAGTCTAGTCTATAGTCTAGTCTATAGTCTAGTCTATAGTCTAGTCTATAGTCTAGTCTATAGTCTAGTCTATAGTCTAGTCTATAGTCTAGTCTATAGTCTAGTCTATAGTCTAGTCTATAGTCTAGTCTATAGTCTAGTCTATAGTCTAGTCTATAGTCTAGTCTATAGTCTAGTCTATAGTCTAGTCTATAGTCTAGTCTATAGTCTAGTCTATAGTCTAGTCTATAGTCTAGTCTATAGTCTAGTCTATAGTCTAGTCTATAGTCTAGTCTATAGTCTAGTCTATAGTCATGTCTATAAGTCTAGTCTATAGTCTCTAGTCTATAGTCTAGTCTATAGTCTAGTCTATAGTTCTAGGCTATAGTCTAGTCTATAGTCTAGTCCTAGTCAGTCCTTAGTCGATTCTATAGTCTAGTCTATAGTCTAGTTATAGTCTAGTCTATAGTCTAGTCCTATTAGTCTAGTCTACAGTCTAGTCTATAGGTCTAGTCTATAGTCTAGTCTATAGTCTAGTCTATATAGTCTAGTCTATAGTCTAGTCTATAGTCTAGATGGAGAAATATGCCCAGTTCGGATTCAGTATAACTCAATTCCTAAAAAAGCACATGTTGTTATAACGTATTTTAGAGCGACAAACTTTTCCAACTTCTTTTAGAATAAAATTGTTCATTTTATAAAAATTTCTTCATTTCATTAATTTTGCTTTTATCGTGTCTTTACTTAATTGTTTACATTATAATTTCTATGTATTTTTAAAATATTTGTAACTTTTCCAAAGTTTAAAAACAGTTTTACACTACTTTTTAAGGAAATTAAGTTTATAACAAGGACTTTTAATTTAAATTTTATAAAAAAAATCCTTGTTCAATTTGTATTTGTCAAAAAGTTTAATATATGCTTATATACTGCTAAAAACTACATAGTTTATTTATTTGTATTGTAAAGCAACTAAAATAAATAAGTCTAAATAAAGCAATGATTTAAATATTTTAAATAAAAAGCTAAAAAAAGTTTAAAACTTTTTGTATAATAATTATTCTGTCATATGAAACGCTTTTTGAAATCAAATACGATACTTTTTAGATCTTGCAGTTTTACAAGATTTATTTTCAAACATCTTTAGTCTTGTAAATTTGCACAGTGTATTTGTAATTTTGTTAAAAAATGTTTATTTAGTATGTTCAACAAGAAAATTTTTATTCATTTAAAGAAAATTCATAAAACTAATGAAACAATTTATAAAATTATCAATAATATTAAACTAAACTAATACAACTAAGGAAATATATCAAAAGAAAAGAAATAAACCAAAAGTATTAAAATAAAAATAACAAAAAACTAAAATTTCAACATTTTCTATTTTAAGAAAAAAAAAAAACAGTTAAATTTTAGTTATAAAAAGGAAACATAAATAGATGCTATAAATAGTATAAGAAAAGACAATGTTTACATTACTTTCTTGATAAATTCTGTAAATATGTAATAATACTAAGCTATTGGTGAATTATATAAATAAAAAAAAATAAATACTTTTTAATTTATAAAAAAAAATCATATAAAAAGAATACAATTTCAAAGTTAAATTAAAGCAAACCTTTTACTTTTGCCTTTAAAAGTAGGCGTGGAGGAGGTGTGGCCATAATTTATAAAAAAAAAAAACAAAAAAATTTTCAAGTTTTATTAAGGTGCTGAAAGCAAAGAAATTATTAAAACATTTTAATATTATTATTTAAATAAAATTATATCAAAATAAATTACCAATTTTGTATTTTGCTGCAAAAACATTTTTACGTTTGAGTTGTTTTAGTTGTGTATTTAACAGGGGCCAAAATGTTTATTATTGAAGTGTTTGTCCTCTACTTGTTATTTTGTTTATCATATTGTTGTTTGTTTTAAAATCTTATATTTAATACTAAATTTCATTTGTGTTTTTTTTGGTATAATATTAATTTTCTGGTTGTTCATTTTATGTTTTTTAATTTTTGATCATTTTTGTTTTTTTTTTTTTTAATTTTTAAACTTCATTTGATGCTACTGATTCTAAGTCACTATTATCTTCGCTGCCGGTTGCTTCGGTGGGATCGCCCATAGCAACACGGGCATATTCATCAGTATCAATGCTTTTGCAAAAATGTATGGCATATTTTAGTTTTTCCAATAAAACGGCCTGAAAGCAAGAAAAACAATAAATTTCGTGAATTTTTGGTGAAATTATCTCGTTAAAAATTTCACTAAAATATTTTCGGTGAAAGAAATTTTCATTAAAAAAAATTCGGAAAAAATTTTCGTTTAGACAAATTTTAAGTTTTTGTAAAAATTTTCGATTAAACTAAATTTTAGTGAAAATTTTCCGTAAAAATAAATTTTAGTGAAAATTTTCGGGAAAAATAAATTTTTGAGA